TTTTTTTTGAAAAGTGTAACAGTCCTAATGCTTTGTAACTACATCTAGCCCCCATTTCATTTTTGAAATAAAACTTCTGCCATGTGGCCTCTATGAGCTTCTTTATATTAGCATTGACCTAAGTTTCAGGTAAACATTTCTTTCTCAAATAGTCCTCTGTTGTTTAAAATAATAAACCCGAATGAACATCACATAAAATGTGACAACTTGCAAAGTAACTCTCTTGACTAAGCAATGGTTTTCAGAGAAGAGAAAAAATTCCAACTTTAATGTTTAAGAACATGCAGTTCTGGAGAATTTCAGTTTTACGTTATTTGTAAAAATTCTCTTTTATCTCTGGTTTGAAAACATTCTTAACATTTATTAAAAACTTCCATTTAGTTCTTCACTCTCTTGTTGCTCCACTTACATGTAAGGCATATATTACTGTATTCGCTGTTTACTACTTATTTTTATATCATCTCTTCTTTCTTGAGACTTATTAAACTTTTATTTAGAGAAACCCTTTGACTGTTTTCCTCAGATAAAATACATCGAGGTACATCAAGACTTGATAAAACTGGAAGATCTTTGTTTTGTTTTAAAAGTTGGTGAGGTAGGGCTGGGGATCTAGCTCAGCAGCATAAGCGCCTGCCTGGCAAGCGCAAGATCATGAATTCAATCCCTGGTACCACGGTGGGGGGGGGGGGAGCTGGGGAGGTTAAGTATTTTCTTTCAGCAACTGAGATATTCCTGTAGTCTTCTATTTATCTTGGAATTTCAGAAAATTAAAACCATTTAGGACTAGGGGTTCTCTTTCAATTCAGATTCAGGTCTTTAATGGAATTCTTTTTTACCTTTCAAAACTGTAACAAAAAAAGGTTTTGAGGTAATCCATGTCCATGATTTACAACTAAATAACAGAAAAGGACTTTTTCTTTTGTTTGGCAGTAATGGTGACTGAACCCAGGGCCCTCACACTGAGCTACATCCCCAACCTGTTTTTATATTTTGGGGACAGGGCCTCACTAACTCACTCAACTGCCAGGCTGGGCTCCAATTTAGCTGTTGAACCCTGGGATCACAGGTGTGTGCTACTACAGCCAGCTGGAAAAGGATTTAAAATAAGTTTGTTCTGTCCCATCCTCAGAAACCCAAAGGCAATCTCTGCTCTCTGAGGTGATGTGAGACAAATCTCACTTACATGGATTGATTAATCCCAAAGAAGCTGCTGCAAACGGGGCTAAACAGGAGCTTTTCAGTTGTTCTTATATGAAGGGCTTAATCACCTACTGGTTTTATTGTCTAAGGGCATACTAGAATCATTCATTCATGGATACTGAGGGACAAATACACTAAATAGTAATAGTGGTTATTTCTAGACAAGAGGTTATGCACGATATTATTTTCCTCTTCGTGGTTTTTTGTGTTTTCTTAATTTAATATGTTTGGCAACATATTATCTATAAGCAGAAGAAACAAAACTATTAAACAAAAAGTGAATAAAGGGAAACAGTCTGACTCTGCAAGGAATAAAAAATGGTGCCAGGGTTAACCACAGGGGGCCAAGAAAGCTCCCTGATCTTTCCTCTCTTTCAGTGCTGGCCTGAGACTAGAAATTGTGTTTATAACAGTCAATTGAAGAATACTCTCTTATTCTTGCATCAGGCTCAAATAAACATATGATCAATTAATACCTCAAATTTACTTCTGCCTAAAAAAAGCTAAACTGAAAATTTTAACCATTTTTCTTTTTCTTTTTTTTTTTTGTCTTTTTCCTTTTTATCGGTACCAGGGATTGAACTCATGACTGCCTGCTTGCAAGGCAGGCACTTACGCCACTGAGCTAAATCTCCAGCCCCTCTATTTTTCAAATAATATTAAACAAGAGGTTGGGCATGGTGGCACACACCTACAATCCCAGCACTCAGGAGGATGAAGCAGGAGGATCGCTGTGAGTTTGAGGCCAGCCTGGGCTATACAAGACCAGCCTGCACTACATAACGAGACTCTGTCTCAAAAAACAAACAAAAAACTAAGTAGGTGACAAAATTACACATAAGTTATACTAAATACATCCCTAATGACCAGAATTTGGCAAGTATACTCGTGCAATCCCAAAGATAGCCAGATTATTATTTACTGTAGTCTCAATATTCCCTTCCATTTCTTAATGTAGACCTCTGAGTTCATTCAAGGCAGCAATACTGTATGCACAGTTTTAAAAATTCTGTTGCCTAGAACATCTTATGTGGATTGAACAATATACAGAATGTGTTATGATATAAAAAACAGGATTAGGTTCCTAAGAAAGCTGTTTTTTCGTAGTTTTAAAAAAGAAGAGGGCCAGAGATATAGCTCAGCAGCACAATGCCTAGCAAACGCAAGGTCCTGAGTTCAATTCTTGGTACCAAAAAAGAAAAAAAAGAAAAAAACAAGAAAAGAAGAAGAAAATGCAGACTCAGCTGCCATGAGCCTTTTGACCTTCCCTAATTCTGTCAGCACAATTGCAAACCTAACAGGATGAGCTACAGTGATATGAGCATACACTTGCAATTTGGTTGTAACCAGAATTGTGGGAGAAAGTTTGTGAACAAAGTAATAGTATACTATTAAAGAAGACAAACTAGGATAGAGAAAAAGGGCCCTGGTCCCATAAGAAAACTAACCCTCTGGGTTAGGCTAAAGCAAAATTTATATAGCAGCCTTAAAATTAGACAGAAAAACAAATAACTAGGCAAAATAAATCATCTGATTTGGTGAATAAAAATCAAACACATATGAAAAGAAAATGCTGGATCAGCGATTCAGCTTAGTGGTGCAGCGCCTGACTGGCAAGTGTGAGGTCTCGAGTTCGATTCCTAATTACCTGCCCCAAAAAGAAAATGCTAGTGGCTTTTCTGTTCCAAAAAAAACTAGTTAATTTACAAAGAAATAGTTTACCTCTCAAAAATCCCATATAAGACAGTCTAAGGCAGGTGTAGCAGCACATACTTGTAAATCCAGCACTCTGGGAGGTTGAGGTAGGAGGATCCCAGCCTAGGTAATTTTTTTTTTTTTTTTTTTTTTTTTGTCTTTTTCCTTTTTATCAGTACCAGGGATCGAATTCACGACTGCCTGCTTGCAAGGTAGGCACTTATGCCGCTGAGCTAAATCCCCAGCCCCTTAGCCTAGGTAATTTAGCAACTTCTCGAGACCATGACTCAAAAAGAAAAATAAAAAGGAAAAGGGGGGCCAGGGATTTAGCTCAGCGGCATAAGCGCCTGCTTGGCAAATGAGAAGTTGCAAGTTTGGTCCCTGGTACAAAAAAAGAAAAAAAAAAAAAAAAAAAGGAAAAGGAAAAGTGGGAAGGGGCTGAGAATTTAGCTCAGTGGTACAGTATCTGCCTGGAAAGTGTGAGGCCCTGAATTTGATTGCTAGTATACTCCATACACACACACTCCCCCACCCCCACCCCCACACTAAACTAAAAAAAAGAAAGAAAAAGAAAATGGAAAGGAAAAGGAAGAAGAAAAGTGTAGGGATGTATCTCAGTGAAAGGCTCTGAGTTCAATCCCAAGTTTAAAAAAAAAAAAAAAAACTCTGGTAAGCAAAAGAAAGATGACAGATCATTTTCATCAGCATAACAATTTATAGGGCCAGATACTCAACCTTTTTTCTGTACACAATCCTACAATTCATCATACAATATTTCTAAAATATCTGAGAAATTGTTTATAATTAAGTTTGTACATTACAAAGTTATATTTAGGATATGAATGTTTCAGATAAGCCTTGCATAAGAAAAGGGCAAGTGAAATCCTCAAAAGTCTGAAATATAGAAGACAGCTTTACCTGACTTTAGATTAGGTCAAAAGGATTTTATAGAGAAATCTATATCCTATCTCTGAAATGGTTTGCATTTGACTAAATCACCTCTAAAATATTTGCCAGGCATGGTGGCACACAATTGTAATCCCAGTACTTGAGAGGCTGAGGCAAGATGATTACAGCAAGTTTGAGGCCAGCCCAGGTAACAAAGTGAGTTCGAGGTCAAATAGCTATAGTGAGAGACACTGTCTTACAAAACAAAACAAAATAAAATCAAAAGAACAAAAAGTAACGCCGACGAATCATTAGGGTGCAGAGGTATACACCTCAGGAGCACAGACAGGGGAATTCTGAGAGCAGCCTGAGTGAAAGAGGCAAAGCAGTGAGGCTGCCTCCCAAGAAACAAAGGCAGGCAGGCACAAAGGAAGACTGCCCGAGTGAAATGGGGAGGAGAGAGAAACCCTGTATCAGCCACAGTTACATGTCACAGATGCAGGAAAATTTCGCACAGCCAAACCTGAACTAGGCCAGGCATGGCGGCACACCTTTATACTGCCAACACTCAGGAGGTTAAGGCATAAAGATCACCGTGAGTTAGAGGCCAGCCTAGACCACACAGTGAGTTCAAGGCCTGGCTGAACTGTGTTGGCAAAACCTGGCCTGAAAAAAACAAAACAAAAAACAGACTAACAAACAAAAACCCACAAAGTTGAGCTATTTCTAGATCTGCTTGTCTTTCCTTTAAGAACACTTACCAAATAAATAATCAGGGAAAACATTTATATGAAACATATATATGTAAAATACTAAACATGCAGAATGGGAATGTAAATAGAGTAAATTCAAGAAAAAAGTACATTTCTTGAATGTTTTTAGCATATACTGCCTCACAGTTACTAGCAAGTAAGTATTCACTAAACATCTATGGAACAAATGAACACACAGATTCTATGGAAAGCATAAAGATTCAACTATATTTTTGTACTAGGGATCAAACTCATTACCGTATGCTTGTCAGTCCAGTGCTTATGCTGCTGAGCTAAATCCCTGGCCCTGAACTATATTTTGGAGGCGGGAGGAAGAGGCTAGCCTACAGAACTATGACATATAGGTATTATCACTGTGAGTTATTCAAATGTTGGAGTACAAGTAGATGAGCTAAAACTACAAAAGCTAGAAAGTACATAATTATAAGCTCTGTTCCAACTTACCTCACACAGCACTCTACTGCACGAAACCAATGAAGCATCTCATCATGTAGAGTACACAACTGTAGGCAAGACAGAAAAACTTTCTCAGCATCGCTGTACCAGCCTGCATCTGAAAGGAAGCCACCTGAAGAACAAGAAGAACAATTAACTTTTATTTAGTGAACTGCCAAAAACTAAATTTTTTGTTTTTTGGTACCAGGAATTGAACTCAGGACTTTGCACTTGCCAGACAGGTGCTTGTGCAGCTAAGCTAAACCCCCAGTCCTAAAATGCCATATTTATAGTGAATATTCTCTAAATAATTAGTCTTGTGCTTAGCCTGAAATAGAGACTGAAGTTGGAAATTTCGCTTCAGAGGCAAAGCACAAGTGAAAGCATGGGTTCAAATTCTAGCACCAAAAACACATGAAAATTTAAAAGATACTAATTTTGAGATTTTTATTAAAAAGTTTCAAGTTGGAAAAATTCCGATGAGACATTAAATAAAGAATTAAGAGTTCTGACCTTCGGGGATTGGGGATTTAGCTCAGCGGCATAAGCGCCTGCCTTGCAAGCAGGCAGTCGTGAGTTCGATCCCCAGTACCGATAAAAAAAGAGAAAGACAAAAAAAAAAAAAGAAAGAAAAAGAGTTCTGATCCTCTAAGAACAGTTTATGAGGCTGGGGATATAGCTCTGCAGCATAAGCACTTACCTGGCAAGTGCAAAATCCTGAGTCCAATACCCGAAAAAAAAAAAAAAAAAAAAAAGGAACAGACTAAAAGTAATATAACATGTTTCTTTATCCTAAAGCATGTTCCTTTCCTATTTTAAAATCCCTAAGGCCAGAGATTTAGCTCAGCAGCATAAGTACCTGCCTTGCAAACACGTGGTTTTGAGTTCAATCCCCAAACCAAATAAAATAAAAACTCTGAAAATTTATGAGGTCACAAAACATGCTATTTTCTATTAATTGGCAGCATTTTTTTCTTGATAGCACATGAAGTTTGGTGTGTCTTAATGTCAAAGTCAGCCGTACATGGTGCCACACGCCTGTAATCCCAGCACTCAGCTGAGGCAGGACTGCTGTGAGTTCAAGGGCAGCCTGGGCCACAGTCAGTTCAAGGCCAGGCTGAACCACATAGAGAGGCTGTGTCTCAGCACTCTCCCCTCTCAAGTAATGTCTGAGTCAACAAAATACTGCATTTTGCTTAGACTTATGTTCTGTGCTTAATTAAAGCTACAAGTAATCAAACAAATATTTTATTAACTGGAGAGAATTTTGCTAGGGCCCTTGCAAAAAGATGAGAATAATGTTATTTGGACTAAGGACACACTGCATGATGTGCTGGCCATCAGGCTGCCTCTTGACTTCAAATCTACCCCTCTTGACTGTTCTTTGATGCTGAGGCCATTTCTGTAAACCACATTTCTCCTTAGCCAGCTGGCTGTCTTCTAGGCTGCACACTGAAGAGAAGGACTGCAAGACAAGAAGAGCAAGGAACAGTTCTTCCTACTGGGGACAGGAACACCCCAGGGTATGTCTCTCTAGTTTGGCAGTAGCACTTTATTTTGGTAAGCAATAATCAATTCCAGCTGCAATTTCACAGCACCTTGTCATCCATGTCAGAATAGCTATTCCATCACTAACTCCTAGGCCCTCTACAATGGGCCCCCTTTTCAGAGCTCAAAGGCAGTGGTACCAACCCAGCACCACCACTTCAGAGGTAGTACTGTTTATAATACCCTAGTTTCCCCTTTTTGCCTTTTTGGTTCTCTATACTCAGATAAAAACATTATACTAAACTCCGCTTCCACAATATGAAACAGATAGACCTTGAAGACTTGATGTAAGATGGAACAAGCTAGTCACAAAATTTATACATTTTCTCAATCTATTCATGGAAATGTCTCCAACATACAAAATCTATAGAAACAGCAAACTGATAGTTGCTTAGGGTAAGAGGGAAATGAGGAACGATTGCTAATAAGTGTGAGTTTCTTTTGAAGGTGATGACAATGCTCTTAAAGCTTCACTATGGTAATATTTGAGAAATTCTGTGAACTTATTAAAAACCACTGAAATGTATACTTTATATGGGTTAATTGTACAATATATGAGTTCTATCTCAATAAGATTATTACCTTAAAAATTATGAATGAAAAATTTCTAGAATGAATGATATAACTGATGATATAACTATGAGTTCACTGAGATCTATTTCTGAGATTTCTGTCTCATTACAGTAGCCAGGCTAATATATCTGAAGGTGACAGAAAATCTCAAGGAACACTAGCTTTCCTATCTCTTGTCTGCCTTGATACTGAATTTTCCCCACACAGATTTTTACGAGCATCTACAGCCACAGGGATGCCATTCTTTTCTTTCTTTTAAAGACAGGGTCTTGCTATGGAGGTCAGGCTGGCCTTGGATTTGCTGCAATCCTCCTGTCTCAGCCTTCCAAGTGCTGGAATGATATATGGGCGCCACCATGCCCAGCTTCTGTTGTTTAACTTACTATTAACCAAGTTCATAGACACTATTTTCAGAGACATTCTTTAGGCAATTCTGTGTTGTAATATATAATCTGTGAGGCTATTAAAGGATAAAGACTAAGAAGTCTTTCCAGAAAAAGAGGGTTGGGGATATAACTCAGTGTCACAGAGTCTGCTTGGCAAACACAAGGTCCTGCATTTGATCCCTGACATTATAAAAAAGAAGTTCTTAAAAGAGTTGGATGTTTTGGCACATGCAGCAGTCTATGAGGCTCAGGCAGGAGGCCCACAAGTTCAAGTCCTATGTGGGCAATTTAGTGAGACGATAAAAAAACAGCTAGAGATGTAGGTCAGTGGTAGAGTATTTCTGGGATTGATTCACAGTCATACACATGCACATGCGCGCACACGTTCTAAAGTTCTGACAGCAAGTAAGAAACTGCTACAAAACACTGTTCTAAGACTGAAGGAAATGATCATGAAAATCTGCCTGTAAAACATTTGCACATGTAAGAGAGAAATGTGCACATGAACACATTAATGTGAGAGTCCAAAAAGAATAATACTTTATCCCATAGTGAAGCAGGTTATGAATACACGAAACCAACTACATAGAAATACACACACACAAATGAATGCATATAGGGGCTGGGGATTTAGCTCAGCGGCATAAGCGCCTGCCTTGCAAGCACGCAGTCTTGAGTTCGATCCCTGGTACCGATAAAAAAAAGAAAAAAGAAAACAAATGAATGCATATAAAAACAGGTTATAACCAATAAGGTCTATGGTCTAGCAGTATAATCTCAATACCCATTTCCTGGTTTTTATATTGTCCTACAGTAGTAATACATCACTAATGGAGAAAGCTGGAGGAATGTTTCAAAGGACTCTAGGTAACTCTTTTTACAACTCCCTGTGACTCGACAACAATTTCAACATTAAAAAGTTTTTTAAAACTCAAGAAGCTGGGTCAAGGACATAGCTTAAGTGAGACAGTGCCTGCCTGGCAAGTATATAAGGTCCTGAATTTGATCCTTGGTACCAAAAAATAAAAATAAAATAAGTAAATCAATAAATTAAGTTAGCAAGAATGCTAAAAATAAGAGGCCTGAAACAAATAAACAATAAATATATGGCCTGAAACAGTTTTCTATATATGTTTATAAAATTTGTTAAAGCTGTCACTATACTTCTCTGTATGTATAGCATATAAAACATTCATGTTTTCACTATCCTCATAACATTCCCATGAAGAAATTCAGAATAACCCTCACATCTGAGATGAAAAACTGAATCCCCAAAAGGATTCAGTACCATGTCACAGCATACAGTCAGCAGGTGAAAGAGGCTGATTGTAGCATGACATGGTAAGAAGATATGTGCTTTGCACTCATACAGACACAAGATTTTAAACCCAGCTCACTACTATGTGTTCGATCTAGCTACTCAACTTTTCTGAGTACATTTCCTCATATGTGAAATGACATACTACCAGTTCACTGGAATGTCAGGAGGATTTAGAAAGATACCATTTAAATACCTACTGTAGTGGTTGGCACAGACTTAAATTTCAATATATCACACATCTTCTTTTGGTATTTTTCTCATAACCTCCTTATGTAGACTTTGTGAAACTCCTGGAAGCATCCTTTATTGTTAGGTTGTTTTGTTTTTGAGACAGGGTCTTGCCATGTAGTTCAGGCTGGTCTTGTTATTACTGTGTAGCCCAAGTAGACTTCGAACTCATGGTACTCTTCCTGCCCTAGCCTCCAAAGTGCTGGGATTCTGGCATGCAGCACCATGTCTGGCTTATTAGCAGATTTAAGTTCTGAGTCTGCACGAGATAAAACCCTCCTGTATTTTACCATCACATACCTAGAACAAAGCCAACCTGAATTGCTTTTTCCTTTACTGCCGCATCTGATTCTGCTATATAAGAGCACCTTCTACTGAATGAGTAGGCCAGGACTGAAGCAACTTTAACACCATGATCCATCAAAGCCTGAAAACAATGATGAAGCAAATGTCTGAAAGAAAAGGAAAAGATTATTTGACAGGGCAATCTTATTTTTGTCCTTTTAGACAGCTGATTTCTTTGTAAAAGAATACCATCATTATTCTCCAAGATGAAATGAAATAGTCTTTGTCCTATAAATTATGAAGTATAGTAATTCAAAAATCATCTTGAGATTGTACAGTGCTGCACATCTGTAATCCCAGCACTTTGGGACTCTGAGGAAGGAGGACCCTAAATTTGAGCTCAGCAAGACCCTGTCACCAAATAAAAAAATGAATGGAACATAGCTCAATGCAGAGGTCCCAAGTTCAATACCAGTAGCAAAAAGAAAAAGACAGCCTGCTATCTTTACTCAGTTCATCATTGAGTGATAACACTCAAGGAAAGAAAGTACACAGTATGTAACATGACAGCAACAAAAAGATGAAGCTAACTTTTAAAATCAGCTCTGAAAAATCAATTATAATTCAACTACAAAAAGACAACCCAGTTAAAACAGGCAGTTAGGTTCCGTGGGGCAAGCCGGTAATCTCAGCTACTCTGGAAGCTGAGGCAGGAATATCAAAAGATGATACATCAACAAGCAATAAACACAAGATAACATGTTTAATATCATTAGCAATCAGGGAAATGCAAATCCAAACCATAGTAAAGTACTACTTCATACCCAATAGAATGACTATAATAACTTATTACAATTACAAAGTGTTGATAAACTGGACAGGCTGATATATGCCTTTAAATTCAGCCAATTAGGAAGCTGAGATAGGCGTATCCTAACATTGAGGCCAGACTGGACAATTTAGCATGACTGTCCCAAAAATAAAAAAGGCTGAGGATACACTGAGGCCCTGTGTTCAACCCCCAGAGTGGAAAAAAGGTAGAAACCACCCAAATATTCATTAACAGATGACTGGATTAATAAAACACAATTATCATTATAATGGAAAATTATTCAACCATAAAAAAGAAAGTAATGTCAACATAACATCTTTAAAAATGTTACTTAGTGAAAGACTCAATAAAAAGATCATATATTGTATGACTGCATGTACACTAAATACATAGAAAATAAATCCATAGACTTATTTTGGAATTAAGATAGTGATGGTTGTAAAATCTTGTGAATATACTAAAAGCTACTAAGTGTTACAATTTTTTTGGAGGGGGGTCTTTTTGAGAGAGAACTCACTATGCAGTCAGGCTGTTCTTGGGCTCACTTTGTAGCCCAGGCTGGTCTCTAACTTGCAAATGGTTCTCCTGCTCAGCCTCCCACGTGTTGTGATTAGAAGAGTGCGCCACTGTGCCTGGCCTAGGTGTTACAATTTAAGATGGCAAATTTTATGATATATAAATTGTAACTCAAAAAAATCTTTAAAAAACAAAACTTCAAATAACAGAAGCACTGCTTTGGATAAAGGAGGAAAAAAGTGAAAGTATTTGCTTTTAGTCTCACAAATAACACCAAAGACTTGGACTTGGTGAAAGATAACCTAAGAGATGAAAGGGGTAAGTATTCCACTAAAACCTATTACAATAGCTATATTCAGAACTGTAGTCATTTGAATCATAGAAAGCAAACTTTTTTTTTTAATGGAACACTTCATGAATTTGCATGTCATCCTTGCACAAGGGCCATGCTAATCTTTTCTGTATCGTTCCAATTTTAGTATGTGTGCTGCCAAAGCAAGCACCAAACTTTTTCTTCAAAGTTTTTCTACAGTCTTCCTTTGCCAAATTGAGATTTTTCTCACCTATTTTTTAATAGACTTACTTATATACTTTTGGGTTTTTTGAGACAGGGTCTTGCTATGCAATACAGACTGGCCTTGAACTCATTATTGCAGCCCAGGTTGACTTCCAAAACAGTGATCCTCCTGCCTCAGCCTCTATGAGTGTTGGGATTATGAGTGTACGTTACCACACTCATCAATATAGACTAATTTTAATTAAGTAATCAAGAGGTTTTTCTATAGTCTTAGTATACAGGCCACATTTCAGTAATGTTAATTCATTTTATTTATTTACTCATCTATTTATCTTCTTCTCCCTCTCTAAAAATGGACTCCATGGGGCCGGGGATTTAGCTCAGCTGCATAAGGACCTGCCTGGCAAACATGAGGTCATGAGTTCGATCCCCAGTACAAAAAAAAAAAAAAGACTCCATGAAGAAGAAACCTTAAAGTTCATACCCACTGCTGTATTCTTGGCATTTAGGTACCTAGCATGTACAGTAGTAAGCATTCAACAAGTATTTATTTAATTTGTTGAACAAATGAAACAACTTGACAAGAATCATATTAGAGATCAGCAGTATTTTATGAAAGCATATTCTTATTTCTTTAGAAATATGGCTTAGGAAAAAGAGATGGCAGTGAAAGCAAATTTAGGAAAGAATGTAAACGAGGACAGTGAGTAGAATCTTTAAGATCATTTCTCTGTGACTCCTACTTCATAGCACTTACACTGGGGAAGGTGAAGTGAATTGTTTCCCCCTCTTGAATTCAAAGCTAATCTCCCACAATATTAACTTTCTAAAAGAGATGGAGCTGGGTAACAAATTCTATCCTTTCTGTCACCAAGCTTCTTTCTTGGATTGCATAATTACTGTGACAATACCATTACTATACTCTCTACCTATCATTTTAGCTGATAACTCTCAAAACTGTTTTCAAACTGTAATTCTAGGTATATCTAATAAATACACCTATGTGTATTCACCAAAAGACATGTATAAGGATAATAATAGCATTATTTACTTATTTATTGTTTTCTGTTTTTTTGGAGGCAAGAGTCTTAATGCAATCCACGCTGGCCTCCAACTTACAGTCATCCTGCCTCAGCCTCCTATGAGCCAGGATTACAGGCATGTGCCACCATGGCTATCGCTAGCACTATTTATAATAGTTAAAAATGAAATAATTCAAGTGTTCAACATTAATAGGATGAACAATGATGTGGAACGGAGCACTGTATATATGCACTATGATGAAAATGAACAATGAACAATGAAGGTGACTGTTATAATACTAACCAAACAAACCAAAAACCCATACATAAAAGGGCATATACCATATGAATCCATCTAAAACAAGTATAATGAACCTAGTTAGGAGGGGAAGTAGTGCCTAAAAAGAGTATACAGTATATAAGCCTAATTATGTAAAACAAGTAAAATGAAATAGTAAAATATAAATGCTTCTTTAAAATGAATTTATGGAAATCAGGACAGCAATGTTTCTAACACTTAAAAAACTGACAACATATAACCAAGCTATTTGGGATATATAATCGAAAAAAGAAAACAAAAGCAGTGATTCAAAGAGTTACTTGCATATTTATGCTGATACAAATATTATTTACATTAGCAAAATGATGGAAATGTCTCAAATACCCACTGACAGATGGGGTAACCAAAATGTAGCGTATATATACAGTAGATTATCTAACTTTAATAGGAGGGGGTTATTATGAGTTCAGTGGTAGAGACCTTGTCTAACATGCACAAGGCCTTGAATTTAACTTCCAACATGGAACAAAAAAAAAGTTATCACTTTGATAAGCATTAAAAACATTATATTAAGTGAAATAAATAAAACCAACCCATATAGAAACTATTATTGGGTACTACTTATATGGGTACATCTAGAGTATTCAAATGCATACAGACAAAGCAGAACAGTGGTTGTAGGGATCGGGAGGAGAAAATTGGGAGTTATCATTTAATGGGCACAGTTTTTGTTTGGGATAATAAAAACATTCTGTAAGTAGATAGTGTTTTTATTGTTGCATAACAAGGCAAATGTATTTAATGTCACTGGATTGCACATTTAAAAGTAGTTGACTGCTGTATATATTTTACCAGAGTTTTTAAAAAGAACTTACCTTTTATCCAAAGCTCTCAATACTTTAGCAAAAACTTCCAATTCACAAAATTCACTACCCAATTGACATAATCGTCCCTGCTGGTAAAGCTGAAATAAAAAATGAAAATTTATTTTTAAATTTATAATCTTCCTTTGAAACAATACAACTATAGTAATAAAAGATGGCAAGATTTCTAATTATGACATATTCATTTGTAGATTCTTACCTTTTAGAATTATTATTTAGAAGAATATTTTAGTATTGCAAATGTACTAAACATTTATCTCAAACACATGCACCTGGTTATAATGAGACAAACACTACTGCTCTTTTCTCCTCTGCCTCAATTTCAACACTTCTGAATTTACATATGCCATAAATAACACAGTGTTTTAAATTTACATATGCTATATACATAATATAGTACCTTAGGAGGAATTCTGATACACTACTATATTAATTCACTTTACGATCTAGATACTTAACATTTAGCTCAGATAAGAAACAGGGGTTTCAAAAGTGGTCAGGGTCTAGAGTGCATTCTCCAAATGATTCAGTCAACTTTGTTCATGGAAAATTCTGCAAATTCACCACATTCTTGGGCATAAATCTTTAGTCATAACAGAGGCTGGATCAATTAAGATGCATATATTAATGCAAATCCATAAAGGCTGCTGAAAAAAGTCCCTGAAGACTGCTGGAGAAGAGAAGGGACAGAAATTACTACAGGCTCAGAAAAGGGAGGTAGAAATGTTATTTTTATGTGATGGTTGCATGTTAACATTAAAGCCTCCAAAAGGAAAGGTTTGCTATTTTTGGAAATGTCTGTTTTTCAGCTACAGAAAAATAAGAGCTTCTGGGAATGTTCACAGTAAAATTCATTACTATTAATCACTGTCATATTCACTTGTCTATTAATCAAATACAGAATAACTCAGGGAAAATAAGATTGAGAATTTATAACCAAATTCCTGTTTGTAAGATAAACAATATGATAAACTTTCAGTCTGGAGCAAAATCATACAGTTATCAAGATAAAATATATATATATATATATATATATATATATATATATATATATACATGTGCCAAAAACACTTAAGATAAAAATTTAGCTTCTTACCAAATAAATGACTCATCATTGCCAAACTCAAGCCTCTTTTGTAAGGTAGAAGAAATGAAAACAAGTTACATAACAATTTTGCCTGTGCTCAATAGCTGATTAAAAACTGACTTCAATTTTATGTGTTCTATAATGTAAAGTATCCTTTTAATAACTAAAAACTGTGTATCATACTAAGTAAGATTTGAAAATAGTCTTTAGGAAAGTGATAGAACTGTGGGGGAGGACCGGTGGCGGCTGAAAAGATAAGAAGTATGACATATAAATAACCTTTATTTTGAGAATGGGGGGAGAGACACCCTCGACCCCCTGGGGTGTGGCATCTCCACCCCTGGCCGGAGATCTCTCCGTGGAACATGTGGAGTGAGGCACAGAAGTAGCCTCGGCCTGGGGTGGAACCTAAGGGGGCATTAGGGATGCACAGGTAGCCCATTGGTCTTAGTTTGGCGCCAGAGGTAATTCCTAAGGGTGGGGGAGATAGGAGCTCCTTGGCTTTACTGGCTACAGTATCTGGCCTGGGCCAAAACCCTTTCACAGTCATGAGTTCCATCGCTGGTGCAAAAACAAATAAACAAAAACCCCCACCTTTTCATAAAAAATAACAGCTAAACATTAATTTTTTTAAAACTATACATCTTAAGAAATAGAAGTTAAAGAGGAAATTGATTGAGGTCCTAGGTTCTGTAATGATTCTCATATTTTATTTTTCAGATATTTTAGTTCAATGTTTGTGTTCTTTAACTAGAGTAGTGAAACTTTTAATGGACTATAGACTACTTTTAGCTGTTAGTATCTCAAAGAAAATAAGTAAAATCAAATTATCTCCCATCACATATAAAAACAATTAAAATGGACCTTATATATAACAACAGTATATGGGCCTTAATATATATATGACAAAAGAATCATTTTCAAATCACCATGGAAGAAAAAAATTAGCTAATAAAGAATCCATTTAAAAACTGGCAAGAGATGCCTATCTGATAAAATATATTTCAAACTTACTAAAATTTTAAATGTTAAATTAAATTATAGCAATTAAAAGCTGCTTTGTAACACCACCTCTGTGTGCATGCCTGGGTGTACATGTTCAAGATTAAAACTAAGGCCTCGTGTGAGTCAATTACTCTACCACTGAGCGACATCTTTATCACTTAACATTGCCTAAGAATTGTATCATGGATAAAAATCAAGAACGACATGATTACTTAAAAATGTAAGGATGACCAGGCATGGTGGCACATGCCTGTAATTCCAGCACTCTGGAGGCCGATGCTGGAGGATCACTGCAGATTTAAGGCCCATCTCGGCTACATATTGAGTTCAAGGCCAGCCTGAACTACATAGTGAAACCTTGTCTCACAAAAACAAAACAAAACAAAAAGGGATTAAATGTTCATGAATATAAAACACTATAAGCAAAGTTTTAAAATACAACAGTAAATATTAATAAACCTACACGTGCATGAATTAGTATCTAATACACAAATGGGTCTAAGAAAAAGATACATTGCCTGTCTGGTGATGTTTTAAGAAGCCAAAGTTTCTAGCAACTAAAGTTAAAATCTTGTAAGAAAATAAAAGGTAAGCTGGGCATTATGGCAGATGCCTGTAATCCTAGCACTCAGATGGCTGATGCAAGAGGATCACCGTGAGTTCCAGATCAACCTGGGCTACAAAGTGAGCCCAAGGCCAGCCTGAACTGCAAAGCAAAACCTTGTCTCATACAGACCAAAAAAATAAAACAAAACTGTAGAACCAGGGTTTTAGCTCAGTGGCATAAATGCCTGCCGGCAAGTGTAACATCATGAGTTCGATCCCTGGTACCAAAAAACAAAAACAAAGAAAAACTGTGGATGTTGGGATTCACTATGTCATTCTGTTTTTGTGCATTTATTTTTTATAAAAGGCTCTTAAGGGCTGGGGAGGATTTAATTCAGTAGCTTAAGCACCTGCCTAGTAAGCATGAGGTCATGAGTTCGATCCCTGTTACCCAAAAAAAAAAAAAAAAAAAAAAAAAACCAGCTGTTAAAACACCTTACAAATGTATCCTTTACCTCTAAGATACAAATAAACATTTTATCTTAATAAATATATGTCCTATCTTCAGTTACAAAACAAACTGCCAGGATGGTGGTACATACTTGTAATCCCAGTACTCAGGGAAGCTGAAGCAGGCAGATCACCCAATTTACACTACACATAGTGAGTTCAAGGCCAGCATGAACTATACAGCCTCAAAAACAAAAACAAACAAAAAAAGACTGATTTTTGTGGTACTGTGAACTGAACCCAGGGTCTTCCCACTCAACTATATTTCTAGCCTTTTTTATTTTGACATAGAGGGTCTCACTAAGTCACTAAATTGCCAAGGTTGGGCTCAAACTTTCCATCCTCCTGCCTTCGAGTGCTGGGATTACAGGCATGTGCCATGAGGCCCAGAGTAAAATTCATTCTGCTCCAATCTGGAAATTTTCTCTTAAGCATCTGTGTTTTCCTAGAAACATAATTTCAATAAATAAAAATTTTCCTGAAACAGTGTCAGATTGATTCACATAGCATTATACAAGCTATTTTTCACCTTTCATCATACTCATGTTATTTTTTTCTCTAATTTTGAGAAGCTGAGCTTTTGCTATATTTCTGGATCTGGTTAGCTGGTGAACTAACTAGTATTTTTCATTTTAAACAACTACTGGCCTTTTTATTCTCACTGACAAAAAAAATGTTCTTTTAATTTAAGAGTTGCCAGTTTTCAGGCCAATGGTAGCAAACCTATGGCATGCGTGTTATTTTTCTTTTAATAAAAAAGATATTAATGTATGAGTTTTTTTTTCTAAATTAAAAGCTAAAGTATTCAGCTTTAATTGTAGTGCTGGCACTTTGTGATAAGTAATTGGGTTTTGGGTTACAGTTTGCACTGGGTCTCTAAAAGGTTTGCCACCACTGATTTAGGCTAGTCCCCTTTTTAGTAAACCTTGTGTTTCACATACCTCATTCATTTTTATTTTTTCCAGTACCACAGGGGCTTGTGAGGCTAGACTGCCACTCTGCCACTGAGCTGTACTACCAACCTCAAGATTATCTTTCTTTTAAAATTTTTGTCTTACTATTTTTCAGTAGTTTTTCTGCTTACGAAAGTAATACATGGCCATAAAATCTGTGTTAGACAAACACACAGATGTATGTACAAAATGACTCCAATGTTAATCCTTGACTAAACACCATTAAAATTTTGTTGTACTCCTCTAGGTTTTTAATTCCTACACAGAAATATGTATTTCCCAACTTAAAACACACACACTGCATTCTGCCACTCATCACAACAGCTGCTCTGTTCTAGGGTATGTTTACTCCAGTATGTATAGAATTCTCATTCTTTGTAACTGTAACATGACATCTCATTCCTAACTGATTAGCATGCAGTTGCTTTCAATTTTTGCCATTGTAGTGTACTGAACAAACTTCAGTAGAATTTTCTGCATCCTCAACAAACTGTAGGAAAATTCTTTAAATGGCATGGTAGTTTAGTGGGCGTGAATAATCTGAATTTTTAAAATCTTCACAATCTGATAGGTGAAGATCAGATGTCACTTCTAAAATTTTGTGTGTGTGTGTGTGTCTTTTTGAGACAGGGTCTTGCTATGTAGTTCAGGCTGGCCTTGAGCTCACTTTATAGCATAGGCTGGTCTTGATCTTGCAACGATCCTCCCTGCCTCAGCCTCTCATGTGCTGGGATCACCGGAGTGTGCCATCATGCCTGGCAAAGTTCTCTTTCTTTCTTTTGGTCCTGGGGATCAAACTTATGATCATGCACTTGCCAGGCAAGCACTTGTGCCACGGAGCTAAATCCCCTAAAACTTCTTGAAATGTAACCCACCTAAGAGTATACAATTCATATTTTAAATGTAAAATTTGTTAGATTTTTTATAAAGTAACCATCACCCAGATCATGAAAGAGTATTATATTATCACAATCCCAGA